TTTTCGAATATCATGACGAAATAAAAAATAGGTGTCTTCTTTTCTCGATAAAAAATGTGAAAACCTATTTCACCTCAATAAAAAATATTGAGGTGTAAATATTGTATGGAATGACCTATACATATATAAAAAGTCGAAAAATTTTGTTCATCAAAATTTTAAACTTTTTAATCAGATTTTACAATTTTTTTGGGTATGCAGTTTTTTAGGCCATTAATTTTTAGTAATATATATAGCCCAAGGTTGAAGTGGCTATTTTTTTCTTCGCGCATTTTCTTCCATGCAAAGCTGAACAATTTTTTTTTTGTGTGGAGGAAATCAGCAACATCTTCCACAAAAAAATACCCAAATACCAACGGTAAGGTCGAGCTACTTAAAATTTGCTAATATTGAAAGGGCTACAAAAGTGCATACTCTCTGTACTATATACTAAGAAATCTAATTAAAACACTAAAAAATATGATAAAACTTTGTACAAAGTTCCAAATTTTTACTTACATGGTTTTTGTACGATAACAAGCTACATTTTCATAAAAAGATAATAAAACTTAGATAAACGAAAAGGAAATAGCCAAAGAATGCTAAAAAGTCTCTTCGCTGTTTATATTTTCGCCACTGTATGTGCTATAAAAGTATCAAATTTTGTCTCGCTGATCATGGATCCTGCTTTTCTAATAGATATTTTTCTAGAAATAAAAATCTCTAAAATAAAACTCCATGCAACCAAAAAACACACTGCACATGCACTGCTTTCTTAACTTTATGACTTAATCGCAAATTTTTCTGCGATTAAATTTAGGCAGTAAAATTGTATTGCTATTCTTACGTGATAATTATTGTCGCCAATCAATGTCGCCAATCAGGCGATAATACCGCAAACGTCTATATTTTAATTTATAAATTTCATTTATTATTGCACCGTACTTAAGTGGACGAAATTTAATATCATTTAATTAAATCAATGCGAAATTCCAAAAAAAAAATACCAGTTCCATTCGTCTTGTAGCACCGTGAATATTTTTAAAGCAAGCAAATCTCCTATGTAACGGTTCAGCGCATACCCAAATGATTACGGCATAGTTATGCAATGCGTGGCTTTATATTCGTATGAATACTAAATAAAATATGCACCTTCATTAATTACTTTTAACAAAATACAAACAAAATATTTAGTTACATGCATCATCGATTTTTTATTTCTCTTCTTATTTCTACCAAACCACAGCTATGAAACCGCCAACGGCATTAAGGGCGAGGAGACTGGCACACTAAAGAAGGCCACCTCACCGGATACCAGTGATGTGATTATCGCGCGTGGCTCTGTTAGCTACACATCACCCGAAGGTAACCTAATTACGCTCAACTATGCTGCAGATGATGAGAATGGCTTCCAGCCTCAAGGCGAGCATCTGCCTACACCACCACCAATTCCACCAGCAATCCAAAAGGCACTCGACTACTTGCTCAGCTTGCCGCCAGCGAAGCGTCGTTAAGCATTTAGCTCGTAAGAGAGGGGTGGACAGATAGCTGTTAAGGAAGGTGATGCCTTCTTTTATGCACAGAAGTAATGTGACAATGCAACAATTGTATAAATTCTTTTCTCCTAAAATCTCTATCGATATATATTTTTTTTTTGTTGAGAGAATCCCTAAAAAATATTGCTGTACTGTACAACAAAGCTTAAGTAACTATTTAGCCAACCTAAAACATATGGACGAATGTGGACACGCTGCTCATAAACTATAAATGAAACTATCGCTAAAACTCACACACACACACACACACACAGGCACACAATCCAAACAAGGAAAGGAAATTTTTGCTAGCATTAGTGAGTTGAAGTGCAAATGTATGTAAATAAATGAAGAAAGAAATGAAAACTACTAAGTACACTGACTGAATGAACCGTTAAATGTTATAAACAAAAATGTATAAGAAAAAATGCAAAAAAAAAAAAATATTATAATATATAGTATAAAAAATCAACTGGCATTTGCTCACTACTCCTAGCAAATGTAAATGTCTCTTTCAATTTACAAATTTTGCTTCAAAGCGAACTCATTGCACACCGCATCATCTTCAACTTCAACTCTTCAACTTCAACTTCAACTCTACCTACGATGATACTCAGCATTTCACTGCACTAAGTACTAAAGTAAAAAGTAAGAAAGCACCGCATATCACCAACGTCCTCTACACTCTACGACGCTCATCCTTTGGAGTCCTCAGCACTTTTGCACTGGAAACCAGCATTGCACTCCATCAGTTTTTGGAACTTCCCTTTACAATTAACACTATAAGCTTTCTTGGTATTTCTTTTTGTTTTTACTTTTTTGTAGTCGCCGGAACTTTATCGCTTCGGACCCTTGTGATATCGTTGCTTTTCTAAAGAAACAAAAATGGCAATGCATGTTTTGTAAAAAAAAAACAAAAAAAAAAACATTCTACTCGTGAAAAACTATGGAAATTTAGTTTTAAAAATCTAAATCATGTTGTTGTATCATATGTAAATTACATAATATGAACGATTATTTACACTTTTCATAAATGTATTTATATTTTATACACATATGTTGTAAAAATCAGCGTAATTAACTAAGAAATGCAAACAAAGAATTAAAGATTCTTTAAAAATTAATTCATGCATTTTTCTTAAAACTTAAAATAAGTAAGAGCAAACGAACGCCAGATTATAGGGAAGATTTACGAAAGCCAGAGACCGAACATAACAGTTACTGGCGAAACTATCATGGAAAAATTCACTATGAAGAAAATGTTCAACAATCAAATGATACATAACAATCTATTTCATTCTTCACCGAGACTCAAATTTGAAAATAAATTTTTATTTGTAATTTGTATGCAAAAATAAAAAAATAACTATTATTTTTAATTTTTTTCTTATAAATCCAAAATAACATTTATTTTTGATTTTTATATTATATGTCTTAGATAACAGTTATTGAAGACTTTTATTTATAAAAGTCAGCAATAAAAATCAGTCAATGACTTTTATTTTTTAAATCAAGCTTATAAAAGTCATTAATATTCTTTGCAGTTAAGAAGGTGTTGGGAAACAAACGTTTACTACAACTTATACAAATGACTTTTATAAGTATGATTTAAAAAATAAAGGTCAGTAACTGATTTTTATTTATGACTTTTATAAATAAAAGTCTTCGATAACGGTTATCTGAGACATATAATAAAAAAAACAAAAATAATTATTGTTTACAATTATTTAGATAAAAATTAAAAATAATTGTTATCTAGGATTTATAAAATAAAAGTCAAAAATCACGGTTATTTAAGGAGTAATTAATTAAAAGCCAAAAACTAATTGTTAAAGAGTGATTTTCGTAATAAAAGTTGTAACTGTTACGGTCCCTGATGAAAGCCAATGGTGTACCCACGAATTTGTGAAAAAGGTGTCAATATTCGTGCTAATTGAGACGACGAACCTTTATATCGGAGTGAGTTTGCCTTCGGGTATGCCTCTGATGACGAATTGGAAGCATAACAACGAAAAATGACAATGAAGATTGCAAAGCGCCGAAACCAAATTTGACAAGCGATGGCGGAAAATCGTTCCACAATACATCTTCCTAGGAATACCTCTGCTGTGAGGAAAACTAGAGTAACTGAAACCCTACTTAAACTAGAAGGCCACCACCTACCTGCTGAGAAGGCTCTAGCGAACTTTTTTAATAAGTTATTTTTAAGTATCGAGTAAGTACACAAATTTTGTGGTGCCAATATACTATATTGTGAGTGGTTTGTTATTAGGAGTGCAATGACAATACTAAAAATATATTTTCTTTAATTTTTGTATTAGGTTGAGTTTCCAATTTAAAATCAAGTTTTGCATATTGGATGCAATCAGTACTTTTGTTAGCATATTTACTGACATGGGTCAGAGGTCAATGAAGCCATGTGCGATTCGGAGTGCCTATGCAATGGAAACCACAGAAAAATCACTTTTTATGGCAGTTACTTCTGCGATGCTAATGCTCGTGCTGTAAGACGTTAAAAAAAAAAACAAGTTTTACTCAGACTTAGAATCGGTTAGATAACTCCGAATATATTATGTTCAATCTGTGAGTCGTTATTCTAAGAAAGCTTCAATGAAGCAAGCAGTGTCAGTGGTTTCGAAGGAATAGCGTCTGCAAAGCCAAAACCTTTCACCCAAGAAGAATTAAGTTAATTTCTAAGGGATTTGGAATTATCCAAGGAACCTGCATTGACTTCCAGATTAAAAAAAAAAACAAGAAATATTTGGGGCCAGTTACAAAAGTGATGTTCTATTGTAAAAGACAGCAAGAGCATTTTTTCATTCGGAAAATGATATTGTTCTTTGTTCCGCTGTTTCAGGCCTTATTGTGGAAATTGGTCTTTCGGAATACCAGCAAAAGGAATGTTGTGTTCTTATAGACAGTTCAAGAGATAAAAAACTTGGTTGGCAAGAAAATTTCCTGGTCTAAGCACATAAAAGATAAAAGGGGGAATTTCCGATGGCTTACAAATAAAAATATTAATAAAGGATTGATTTCTTAAGTTCAATGAACGATTTGGAACGTCCGGCCTGCAATTAGTGCGCTGAAGTTACTAAAAACTTTTAGGGAAATTAACTAATCAAGTAACTAATCCGAAATCCATAAACGACATGCTGAAGAGCTTTAAAACCGAATGATGTAATATTTCCTTGCTGGGGGATGCCATGTGATTGATCCACTATATCTTATTCACAAATGTCGCACTTTGTCCATGTCTTTGTAAAGCTCATATAGCTCATCGTTTCATCCCCATTGCTAACGCGTAAAGGCCCAGAAATCTTTCGCAAAATTACCTTAAAATGCTTGCTGAAATTCAAAACGTATACAGCAAGTGTGTTGAGAAATACTTTTACGAAAGGTGAATCAGCTCTCTGGCGTTAGAAGCGAGATATTCATAAAATCTGTATTTATTTTCCAATTTTAATGAATTTCAAAACGTGCATATATTGTATACACTTATTATATTTACAAAACAAAATTTAATAAAAATGTATACTGCATACATATGTGAGGTCATGAGGGCCAGAGGAGCCTATCTACATAAAAAAAAAAATTTTAGTAATATGAGAAAGAAGGGTCTATAAAAATTTTTCGTGAAATGGCCCTCATGGCCTCAAATGGTGTGAAATAGATATACATAATATCCATATAAATGGTACGACTTAGCTTATTAGACTAACCTTATGCAGTTAAAATGTCTGCATTTAATAGAAAAGTTGTTTGATGCATTTGTCAAGAACGTTTTCAATATGAAAGCTATGCAGATTATGCAGATTATGCGCGGGTTTCGGCTAGTATTTAGTTAACTGTACTATTTACACCCTATCAAAATTGAAAATCCTGCTCTAAATCCAATCTAAGCCTTTTCTAGGATTCAAAAAAATGTTAAATGTAAATTTATTCTATCTTATATCATTTTATAAACACGTTTTACAAAAAAAGTTGTGTTTTTACTTAACTAAATAAGTCGTATTTACTTTTGATTAAATTAATTTAAAATTTTTATGATATTATAAATTGTATTTTACCAAATAAACTCGACAGTTGCAATATGCTCGTATATTACCGTAAACGCCAACTACACACATACACACGCGTATGTTAATTTACTGTACTTCTCAACCCACTGCCCCATAATTTAAAACTTCCACTCCAAGCCAGTTGCTTAATAAAATATCATAACAACAACCGACCAAACAACATAAAATAAAATATTAAATATATGTATATAATTAAAATGAATAGCTAAAAATCTAGTTTGTATGCAAATTCCCATAAGTTTAAATTTATTGGTAAGCAAACAAGAATGAAGTGACAAAATATTTTAATAATACTTACTACTTTCAGAGAAGACAATAAAAATTCGATAATTTATCGCAAAAATTTTAATTCACATGCAAATTTATTTGAAATTACACTATGTGACAGTGAAAATACACTTTCTGCGAAATACGCATCAAACCGCATACTTACTCAAAATTTTCAAAAGACCCTCAAAATCTGCACTTATGGCCAAAAAAAAATGGTTTTTCATTGGTGTGTATATGCACTTGCTTGTAACATTTGTGCGGCAGGACGGAATAAAATCTCCTTTCAACACTCCTGANGATGCATTTGTCAAGAACGTTTTCAATATGAAAGCTATGCAGATTATGCAGATTATGCGCGGGTTTCGGCTAGTATTTAGTTAACTGTACTATTTACACCCTATCAAAATTGAAAATCCTGCTCTAAATCCAATCTAAGCCTTTTCTAGGATTTAAAAAATGTTAAATGTAAATTTATTCTATCTTATATCATTTTATAAACACGTTTTACAAAAAAAGTTGTGTTTTTATTTAACTAAATAAGTCGTATTTACTTTTGATTAAATTAATTTAAAATTTTTATGATATTATAAATTGTATTTTACCAAATAAACTCGACAGTTGCAATATGCTCGTATATTACCGTAAACGCCAACTACACACATACACACGCGTATGTTAATTTACTGTACTTCTCAACCCACTGCCCCATAATTTAAAACTTCCACTCCAAGCCAGTTGCTTAATAAAATATCATAACAACAACCGACCAAACAACATAAAATAACATATTAAATATATGTATATAACTAAAATGAATAGCTAAAAATCTAGTTTGTATGCAAATTCCCATAAGTTTAAATTTATTGGTAAGCAAACAAGAATGAAGTGACAAAATATTTTAATAATACTTACTACTTTCAGAGAAGACAATAAAAATTCGATAATTTATAGCAAAAATTTTAATTCACATGCAAATTTATTTGAAATTACACTATGTGACAGTGAAAATACACTTTCTGCGAAACACGCATCAAAAAGCATACTTACTCAAAATTTTCAAAAGACCCTCAAAATCTGCACTTATGGCCAAAAAAAAATGGTTTTTCATTGGTGTGTATATGCACTTGCTTGTAACATTTGTGCGGCAGGACGGAATAAAATCTCCTTTCAACACTCCTGATAAAACCCACAACATCCTAAAATTCATAAATTCCTCCTTAAACACATTGCACGAATTTAAAATTTTCTTTTTGATGCAGAAATATTCCTAAAGCATCTAGATGCGTTTCTGTATCAAAAAGAAAATTTTGAAAAAAATGTCGCTTACGTTATTTTGGCGGTTAGGGCTCGATATTTTCTTAAAAATTGTTTTAAGAACTGTATTTGCGTTTAAAAATACGGAGATTTTTTAACAAAATGTTATAAACATATTTCATATAAAATAAATTTTAAAGGCATGTAAGTTTTACTTAGTGATAAATAGCGGGACCCACGGCGGATGAGCGGGATGGGGTTTGAATATGTAGTTGCGCGCCCATTTCTGTTAGATAAAGTAGAATTCTAGT